TAAATGTTATGGATTTAAAATATATTATGCGCAATTAATGCGCATTAAAAAACGAATTTTTGCATTTTATTTTTAATTACAAAACAACATTTTTTATCAAATAAATTGATTACTACTCATAAAAATAGAAAGAAAATAGCGTTCTCAAATTCTTCTTTTGCAACACATACAACTCTTCACATAAATGTATCCAGCCCGACACGGAGATACAATCACTCTAAAAATACAACTTTGTAAACGAATATTTTCAATTTGAATTATATTTTATGATTACCTGCTTGCAAGCATCTTATTTTCTTCACGAATAATTTTGAGTTGCACCTGTTGAACTAACATTAAAATAATAATAACTAAAACCTTTAGAAATAACATTTTAGATCGATTACAAATTTTGTGAGTTAGCACTTTGGACTCGATTAGAATTTATGACGCGACTCAATCCGAATCCTCTCTAATCGCTTTATTTTGGGTAACACCTTTTTTATATATTTTTTCTTATCTTTAGGAATTTAATACCAAAAATTTTATTTCATCATTTATTTTAATTATTATAAAAGTAGGTACAAAAAACTCTTATTTTTAATTAACTACATACTACAACATAAATGTGATTATAATCATGAAAAACATTAATTTCTAATTATTTTTAAGATTTTAAATAAATGTGATTCTAGTTTTGGTTTGGTTAATTTGCCAAACGTTTAATTCTTCATACTCCTCAATGCAAGCATCAACTTGATCTGGATTATAACCTTTACTGGCGCACTTTTCTAATATATCAGAAACTTTAACCGTTTTGTTATCGCCAGCTAATTCGCCAATAATCGCGAAGATTTTGTCGTTTACATTCATTGGTCTAAAACAATAATAAATAAATAAACATTTAAAAATAATCGTTTTAAAATTCACCTTGTTCCTTTATTCTCAATCGAATGATTCAAAGAATCTTTACTCATCGCCATCAAGCGAATCGCTTCATTCACATCATCCTTTTCAACTACATCTGAAAGTCTTAATCGGGCTAAAGCTGTTGATAAACGCAAGATTCCTAATAAATTTCTTGCTGAGGTGAATGTCATATCGCGTGAATTACGAGCTTCTTTTCGTAATTCTACATAAGCAGCTAAAATATAACAAAATTTTAAAAAAATTAATTTTTTTTAATAAATTAACTTACAAACAAGAAATTCGGTTAATTCAGCTGGGATAGTTGGGTCTTTCAATTTACACAACGCAATGTATTTTCTCATTAATGACATATCTAAGGGGGGAGTTTCTGTGGGGGGTTGTTGACTATGTTGGTGAACATAAGTGATGTGTTTAGCTAATCTTAAGTCGTTATCTCTATCTGGTTTATCTTGAATTAACCATAACAAATCGAAACGCGATAATAAAGCCGCTGGGAGTTGAATGTTTTGTTCAATCGTTCTTTTTGGATTGTAACGACCATAAGCGGGATTTGCGGCGGCCAATATTGATACTCTAGCGTTTAAACACGTCATTATACCAGCCTAAAATGTTAAAAATAACTAAATTTTATTTAAGACTTTATTTTTTAAATTACTTTAGCAATAGAAATCGTTTGTTGTTCCATAACTTCGTGTATAGCAGTACGATCGGCATCAGCCATTTTATCAAATTCATCAATACAACAAACACCTTGATCTGCAAGAACTAAAGCACCCCCTTCTAACATCATTTCGCCGGTTGTATGATCTTTCATAACAGCAGCTGTTAAACCAACGCCGGAAGAACCACGTCCTGTTGTATATTGACCTATTTTTATAAATAATAATTAGTGTTACTAATATAGAGATGATTTGGAACATACTTCTTGGGGCTAAACGATTAATGTAACCTAAAAGTTGAGATTTAGCGACTCCGGGGTCACCCATTAAGCAAATATTTATGTTTCCACGTATTTTCATTCCGTCAGGGCGCCGATCGACGCCTCCAACTAACAAAAGGAGAAGTGCTTTTTTTATGTCTAAATGGCCATAAATTTCTGGGGCTAAAGAAAGTGCTAATTTTGAATAAAAATCGTCTTCTGTTAATGTAGCCATTTCTTGTTGAGTTAAATTTTGAGAGGCGATTTCATCGTCGGTGCTTTTATTTAAAGAAATTACTCGCTAAAAACGATTAAGTTATTAAAAAATTAATGGGGGTTAATTAAAAAAAAAAAATATAATACATGTGCTTCTAAATAAGTGTCTGATAAGAGTCCTCCTGAAATTTGTTGAAAACCGGTTCTTATTAAAGGTAAAAAAACGCCGGTAATCGCGATGTGATCACCAGGTAAAGCTTGACGGGTGTTTTCTCCGCGGCAAAAGATTGTTAATGATCTAGGAATGTGTCCAACAGGAACTTGATCACTCTAAAAAGATTTGTATTAGGTTAGATATGATAAACTTTTTTCAGTGTTGTGCGAAATAATAGGTGCAAGTGTATTTATGTATTNGGGATTTGCGGCGGCCAATATTGATACTCTAGCGTTTAAACACGTCATTATACCAGCCTAAAATGTTAAAAATAACTAAATTTTATTTAAGACTTTATTTTTTAAATTACTTTAGCAATAGAAATCGTTTGTTGTTCCATAACTTCGTGTATAGCAGTACGATCGGCATCAGCCATTTTATCAAATTCATCAATACAACAAACACCTTGATCTGCAAGAACTAAAGCACCCCCTTCTAACATCATTTCGCCGGTTGTATGATCTTTCATAACAGCAGCTGTTAAACCAACGCCGGAAGAACCACGTCCTGTTGTATATTGACCTATTTTTATAAATAATAATTAGTATTGTTAATATAGAGATGATTTGGAACATACTTCTTGGGGCTAAACGATTAATGTAACCTAAAAGTTGAGATTTAGCGACTCCGGGGTCACCCATTAAGCAAATATTTATGTTTCCACGTATTTTCATTCCGTCAGGGCGCCGATCGACGCCTCCAACTAACAAAAGGAGAAGTGCTTTTTTTATGTCTAAATGGCCATAAATTTCTGGGGCTAAAGAAAGTGCTAATTTTGAATAAAAATCGTCTTCGGTTAATGTAGCCATTTCTTGTTGAGTTAAATTTTGAGAGGCGATTTCATCGTCGGTGCTTTTATTTAAAGAAATTACTCGCTAAAAACGATTAAGTTATTAAAAAATTAATGGGGGTTAATTAAAAAAAAAAAATATAATACATGTGCTTCTAAATAAGTGTCTGATAAGAGTCCTCCTGAAATTTGTTGAAAACCGGTTCTTATTAAAGGTAAAAAAACGCCGGTAATCGCGATGTGATCACCAGGTAAAGCTTGACGGGTGTTTTCTCCGCGGCAAAAGATTGTTAATGATCTAGGAATGTGTCCAACAGGAACTTGATCACTCTAAAAAGATTTGTATTAGGTTAGATATGATAAACTTTTTTCAGTGTTGTGCGAAATAATAGGTGCAAGTCTATTTATGTATTTTTATAATAAAAATCATAATAACATATTATTAAAAATTAATTCTTTTGGGCAATCTCTCTTAAAGAGGAGCCAAACTTGATATTGTGTCCGCTCACTTTAATTCTATAACTTCTAAAGAACTGTCAAATTTGAGTTGTGCAAAAAAATAGGTGTTACATTTTTAAAAGTTAAAATTCAATATAGGTTGTAATTTCTGAAAGTTAAGCCGTGCGTCTTCAGATAGTGTTAGTTCTAGTTTTAGTTCAATAAAAATATGGAATCTTATAAAGTCCCTAGATTTACAAAGTACCGCGATTCATGAAGCGTATTTTCGAGCTGTTTCGAACCAAAATGGCGGTTTGACAGCTTGTCACTGCATCTCACCATTTATTTACAAAAATATTGCCGTCTTATTGCCTTTGGAGTTGCAAAAATGGCAGTAAGAAGGACCTTCGACTCTTCAGAGTACCACGAGAAAAAAAGAAACGAAATTTGGCATAATGTTATCAATAGAATAACATAGTTTTAAATTTCCCGCTTGACTTTCGAGCCAAAATGGCGTCAAACCGCGGTACTTTGTAAATCTAGGGACTTTAATATCTTATGCTAACTAGCGCTACCTACCACTGCCACCAGAACTAACATTAGACATATAACTAGATACGTTCGGATTGAGCCGTATGTCTCTCAAGACGGCTAAACCCGAATGATTCTAGTTCTCGATTTTTAATTAGTTCTAGTGATGGTGTAAAACTAGAACTAACACTAGACCTAGAACTAGATACATTCGGGTTTAGCCTTGCGTTCGCCGAGTAA